TCTATATAGTAATCTTATGTCATTATAGATACTGCAAATGTCTTCTTTCAGTTTGCTCTCTTCAGTTAAATTTATATACAATTCCTTTCCTGGGTAGAATTATTTAATTTTGGCAGTCAAAGCCCTTATGGTTTGTATTTCTGTGATCTTAAGAAATCCTTTCCAACCTCAAAGCAGGAAAATTACAATTTTTGGTAGAATTTATAAAGTGATAAAGTGATGCTCCATTTTCTCAATGAGACTATTTTAAAAGTTTTTTGGCCAACTTCGATATATAAAGTTTTAGGAATACAGAAGTTATAGGGAAATAGTCAAATGGTTGCTAACTACCTTTATCTAGTTAGTAAGTCACAAATTTAAAATCTCATATTTTAACGTAATATATTAATAAAGGCATATTGCTGTTTCCACCCCCACATTTCATAAAACAATTTTATTCTAATTCTTCTCATGTATTTATTAATCAAGATCATTTTAGGATAATGTATCTTCCCCAAACAGCTTTGAGAGAGTACTCCTAATTTGGAAAAACAAAAGGACTTATTTATGAGGTAATTCTCTCTTTCCCGATGAATAGTTTCAAGTAAAAAAAAAAGCTTTACCCTGTGTTTATCTGGTCATATACAATATTCCACTATGCTTTCTTTTTTTAGTGTTACTGTTTTCCTTTCATATTTGGATCTGTATGGATCTGGAAACTTTCTATATGGTGCAAGGATACAACTTTCTTTTCCCTCAAATAGTAAATTTATTTTCTTAATACCATTTACCAAATATTCCATTTATTCCCAAGGATTTTATATTAAGCTCCCCAGTATGCATAGATTTGTTCCATTTGTTTGTGAGTTCCTATGTCAGTATGACCTTGTTTTAATTATTATGTTTAATTATTATGACATTGTTTTAATTATTTTAAATATGTGTTACTGTCTGGTAGGGCTTAGTCTTTATCAAAATTGCCTAAGGTACTCATGGACTTTATTTCTATGTACATTTTAGAATCAGTTTGTCAAATTCTCCCCATATCTTGCCGTGATTTTGGTTGGGGTAGCATTTAGCTTAGAGATGTAGGGGGAGATTGACTTTTTTATTATCTTAGGATACGACATTTGTTAATATGGTATCTCTCTCCACTTCTCAGGTCTTCGTTTATGTACTTTAATAAAGTTTTCTCTTTTTTTCATAAAGTTTTTATACTTTCATATGCTAATTACTAAATATGTTTTGGCTTTTTATTGTTATTATAAATTGTAGGGAATTTAAAATTATTTTTTAGTTGATTATTAGGAGTATAGGATTTAGAGTTACAAATCCCAAGTTCAAGTCATTTTTCTGTTACTCAGTATCTGGGAAAATCTGGGCAATTACTTAACCTTCCTCTGTTTCCACTTTCTCATGGGTGAGACGAGATGACATTTTTCAAAAGTCGTGGTGGCAAATTAGGTAGAATATCTCCTAGTAGTTAATGTAATTTGGCTGTAGGTTGAAAAGATGGTGAATTATCTACAGGAACTATAACCCAAGGGTCAGGGTCTAGAGTAGTGAATCCTGATGAGGGAGAGAGTTTGTGAAGAGAGATGACATAAGGGGTAGTAAGGTGGGGGTTGGATAGACTGGGCAAGTAATGTAATCCTGGCAGGGTGCGGGTGTATGGGGTTTTGAAAAGACATTGAAGGAAGTAACACATGTGGTCTCCTGCTATTGGTTTTAGGTTGCAAATGATTGACTGGTTTAGCAAGTTTTGTGTTTATAAAATGAAGGCTTGAGTTAAAACCATCTGCCCTGAAGAGGAACCTGAGAACTCACATGGAGCTACTTTAGGAAGTACCTAGAAGAGATTTATCATTATGGCTTGCTCTCAGGAAAAGCATGAGACCTCATTTGTGACTTCCTTCAGTGTGGGAGAACAGTGACATTATTGTAGCTCATTTTTGTTTTAGCCAGCTCAGGCTTCTTGCAGGACCCCCACCTCCACCCTACTCCCCAACACCTCACAGCATTGCCAAGCTTGTGGAGCTATGTGCCAGGACTTTAATGTCAACTGCTGTCCTCTTCTCTGACATGAATCCAGCCCAGTATTCAAGGCTCACCTCCAGGCCTCTTCAATAAAGAGGACTCCCAATCTATCATGCCCATGATGATTTCTCTTTTCTAAGTCCACTGGCTTTATTGCTTACTTGCTTTAAGATAAGCTGTTCTCTTTATAAGTATTTGTTCTCACTCCCTAACTAACCCACAAGCAAAGTGATGTCGGGGCAGAGTCCTTATCTCCTAGCTCTGGGTATTCCCTGTAGTGCTTTGTGCATAAATACTGGGGTTAGTCCACTGCAGGCATGTGGTGGCCAGGTCAGGGGAAGAGGCTAGGGGAAAGGAGAGGACTCACTCTTTGGGCCCTTGTGTAGTGGCAGTGAAAGAAGGACAGCATGTGGGAACCTGGGTGGGGTTCCATAACTTCTTCAGTCCTATTGCTACAAAAATGATTATCAAGTAAGCAACGATGGACAGGGCAGTTGAAAAATTCTTTTGAGTTGGCTGGAGATGAGAAAACAGAGCTATATCTGTACAAATGGTAAGGCTGGTAGGAGGAGAGGAAGGAAGGAACTGCTTCACTGAGCACAGGTTTTTTGTCCTGCTTTATTCAAAAAAGTTCCCTCAATCTTCACAATAATAGAGAAGTGAAAATTTCTCCTACCACTTCCTGCTGTGGCCTCACAGAAGGTTGCACATCTCCTCTGACTGCCAGAGCAGAGACCTAGACATGAAAGGGAACCTGCCGAGCCTCACTGCCACTGCCTAGAGCCACACCTGGTAGCAGCACAGGAGCACAAAGCAAGCGATCCTCTGCCAGGACCAGGCTTTGTAGACATTGAAAAGGATTCCAAGACCTGGTTCCTGCAAAGTTAGGCTCATGGCGAGGATTGCAAAGGGGAAGTGTGTGTGTGAGGGGGGAGAATTCACATAGTTTTGAAACTGTCAGAGCAGAAAGTGGAAGAGACGGTGGTTCTAAGAGCAGAAGGAACTCTGAGGACAGGAAAGATAAGTCTTGGGTGGATTGGGTTGCGGATTGTGACACTTCTCTTTCTCCTTGTCTCTGCAGAGGTCCCACTAATTCCTTTTGTCTGGGATGTCTCAGTTCCAGGATGTAGTGAAGGTGTGGATACACTCAAGAATGTGTGTGTGCGCGCGCATGGATGTGCGTGTGCACATGTAGGAGTTGCATAGAAGAGGAGTTAAAGCTTCTAGACCTTGGGTGTGAATCTCTGGACCTTTTCGAACTTCTAAAATGAAGACAATTAATACATCTTTTTTTTTTTTTTTTTAAAAGATGACCGGTAAGGGGATCTTAACCCTTGACTTAGTGTTGTCAGTACCACGCTCACCCAGTGAGCAAACCGGCCATCCCTATATCCGATCCGAACCCATGGCCTTGGTGTTATCAGCACCGCACTCTACCGAGTGAGCCACGGGCCGGCCCAATTAATACATCTTTTTTTTTTTTTTCGCTCACCCAGTGAGCAAACCGGCCATCCCTATATCCGATCCGAACCCATGGCCTTGGTGTTATCAGCACCGCACTCTACCGAGTGAGCCACGGGCCGGCCCAATTAATACATCTTTTAAGATTAAATGAGATGGCATATAATGGACCTAACTAGCACAGTATCTTTTACAAAGTAGAAGTTCAACAAAATTTGGACCCCCCACCCAATGTTCTGCCCACTTCAACGCACTTGATGGTTCATTAGAGGAGTCAGAGAGTATAGAACCAAGGTGGGTGTGAGTGTGGGGGTGGCTGGGAAGTATGGGCAGAGCTTCAGTTAATGTTAATTAGTTGCACAAAATGAGTAACTTGTTTCTGATATTGATCTTTGTATTCATTTTTGGTACATGCTTTTTTTCCTTTCCTTTTTCTTCATAAATATCAGATTCTCTTGGGGTCAGGGACTTTGAGGGAGGGCAGATAAGTCTGGTGTCAAGGGGCTCCCTCTTACTCCTCTTTTGTTTACTCTTAAATCAAGTCCAACAGCTTTTAGAAACTAAGGTGCAAAGAGGCAGTCCTGAAGCTGATCGAGGAGCAAAGGAAAGCCAATATAGAGTTTTAAGTTAGTGATGGAAAAATCCATTAATTGTGTAGTTCATAATGGGATAGAATAATGAATTGCCATTTAAAATCTGTCTTTTCCAGGGGGAAAAAAGTAGAGAAGCTTTATCTCATTTTTCTAGTGGCTTCATAATGCAGGGATCTGCCCCAGGACAGAGGGAGCGGTAGGGGAGACACACAGGGGAGTGTAGAGTTTGGGTGGAAACAGGTGATCTTTGGGCACCAGCCCAACCCCAGCTATTTGTCAAGGAGTTTAAGTAGAGTTACCCTGGGGTCTACCCTCTGACATAGCTCACAGTATAGGAGGATAGGGTTTCCTGGCTCCAGAAAGCAGTTATTATAGCTGCGGAGGAAATGAAGCCTGACTGTCTAGAAAAGAAGAAGCAGTGGAGGCTTATGGAGGGGTTCTCCAGGCCCCTGTCCCTGATCTCTACAGTGGATTGTTTATTAACTCCCTTACTCTGCAGTCTTGCTTTGAGGCCAGACACCTCTGTACTCTCTCTGTGCCTCCTTCCTTCTCAGCAGCCCTGCCTCTGCCACCTGCCCCAGAAGGGCCATGTGTCCTCCATCTCCTGGGTGACAAGACAGATGAAGGGTTTATGTAATATCTTCCTAAGTAACCTCCCTTTGAGGAACAAGAGAGCTTATCTGGGTCTTTTGGGAGGGCACTGAGAGGAAAAAGTTAAACCAGTGGACAGTCCTGGGCATATTGGGATATTCTCTCCACTGATCTAGGGAGATCCACCTACAGACTGGTTGTTGCACAGAAAAAGAAGAAAGAGACTAGGGCAGGATGAAGTTTACCTAGTAACTGATGATGCTAGGCTGAGCCACTCAGTGATTTGTTTCTACCTCTGTCCCCGCCTACCCAGCCAATCTGACAACTCTTAGTTTGGGACACAGGACTCAGATGGGCTGGAAGGAACATGTTTAGTATCTAGGGGCTGGATAGCTGCAAGTTACTCATCTAGTGGGGAACAAGGGGCCTGGGCAATGCCATATTCCTCTCAGTGTCTGGAGATCACTCCCCCGGGCTGGAGCTTCTGAGGCAGGCAAGGATCCAAGGCCCCTGGAAGAGCTGGTTCAGGGGACTGAATTCCCTGCGTCTTTGCAGAACAGAGCATGATCACACTCCTGCCACTGCTGCTGGGCCTCAGCCTGGGCTGCACAGGAGCAGGTAAGGACACTCCTTCCTGGGACCTTCTTTTCTCCTGCTCCTGTTTTTGGGGTAAGGGTACTCAGTTTTATTAATGAATTTGGACACCCCAGACTAGTTTTTCTCCCTACTGTATAATAGCACTTTATACTGCAACTTTGTAGCAATTTTAATAGTAATTAAGCTGTACAATTATATGTGTACACATTTCTGTGATGAAACGTGGGCAAGAACAATGTCTATTTTGTTCACTGCTGCATCCCAAGCTCCTAACACAGAGCTTGGCACATAGCAAATGTGTTATAAACATGTATGAAGTGAATATTTAATAAAATTGCCAGCACAGATCAAGGCTGACTCCTTCTCTTGACCCCTTTTCTCTCAATAATTTGCCTTACCGAATGTCTGCATTGTGGGTAAATTGTCATGTTCAAACATGCAAATGATCTTGGGCCACTCCTTTCTCTGTATTTAAGAGGAAATTAGATCCAAAAACTTCTCTCCTACTACCATCTATTCCCTTAAATCGGGGCTCTCAGAGACTGCAGTGTGTGAGCTTGGTTAGTAGATGCTGCCTGAGGCAAGAAATCTGGGCCAGACTAACTGCGTGTAACCAAGGCTTGGCTTCCCAGCTGAATACTGTGGAGGAAAAATCAACTGATTTTTTCTTCTATATGATCACCCTCAACACTTCTGTGACAACGTGTGTGTTTTTTTTTCCCATGCCAACCAACTCTATACCAGCTGGGTATCCTACAGTTCAATTCAGTTATGGCGTTAAGGGCTCAGTCACACAAGACTGCCCCTACTTCAGACGCCAGTAACAAGTCGTAGTTCCCCAGGTTACCCACAACTTCTGTCCAATGTGGCTACAAATCAGAGGTTCCCATGACCCCCTCCTTGGCTTTGATAATTTGCTAGAGTGACTTTCAGAACCCAGGAAAACATTTTACTATTACTGATTTATTAGAGAGGATATTTTAAAGGATACAAATGAACGACCAGATGAAGAGGTACATACGGCAAGGTCTGGAAGAGCTCCGTCCCTGTGGAGTTAGTGTGGGCCACCTTCCTGGCTCATGGAAGTGTGCACCAACTGAGATCTCTGAACTCCTAGTTCAGGGATGTTGATGGAAGCTTCATTGAGTTGGCATGATTGTTTATTAACTCAATCCCTTTCCCAGAGGATGGGGGATGGAGCTGAAAGCTCCAAGCTTCTAATATGACTTGATCTTTTTGGTGACCAGCCCCCACCCAGGAGCCCACCAAGGGTCACCTCATTAGAATAAGGATGTTCCTATCATCCAGGAAATTCCAAGGGATTAGGAGCTCTGTGTCAGGAACCAAAGTCAAAGACGAATATTAGATCAAAAGATGCACCTAGCATCCGTATCAGGAAATTATAAGGGGTGCTGTGCCAGGAACAGGGCAGAGACCAAATACATATTTTTTGTTATGTCATACTAGCAGAGGACATTGACCTGCTCTCCCTTCTCTGGCTCCCCTAGGCAGTTTTGTGGCCCATGTGGAAAGTGCTTGTCTATTGGATGACGATGGGACTCCAAAGGATTTCACATATTGTGTCTCCTTCAACAAGGATCTGCTGTCCTGCTGGGATCCAGAGGTCGACAAAATGGCCCCTTGTGAATTTGGGGTGCTGAATTTATTGGCCAAATACCTCTCAGAGTACCTCAACAAACAGGAGCAACTGCTCCAGCGCTTGCGCAATGGGCTCCAGGACTGCACCACACACACCCAGCCCTTCTGGGGATCACTGACCCACAGAACACGTGAGGAGAGAGGGGTGCAGAGGGGCTTCTAGGAAGCACAGTCAGGAGAGAAGGCCAGGGAGGACCCCTCGGCAGGCAAGGGGCTTGAGATTTGTGCAGGAAAGGAGCAGAAAATGTGTGGACATGGAACATAGAAATAGGGGGGATTGAACCTTAAGGGGAACCAGGTGGTTGAGAGTGGTGGAACAGGAGGAAAGAAAGGGAGGTGATGTTTGAGCCCCTGAGGAGCTACGTGTATTGGGGGAGAGAGAGCAGAGGCCAGGGCACCTCAGGAGGCAGATCCAGGTTCAACCAGGGCTGTGTCAGAATAATCAGGATGGCTTTTCTCAAAGTGTTCATGCCTCTTTATCCCAGATTTTGATGTTCTAGATCTGGGGTGGGCCCAGGCACGGGAATATCTGGAAAGGCTCCCAGGTGATTCTGATGCATTCTCTCTCTCTCACCCTTAATCCCTTGCATTGAAAATGATGAGGTGTGTACAAGTAATCTTGAAGATCTCCACAGGACAGAGAAGTGTGTCTTAAGATGTGGTTTCTGAACCACCTTTCTCAGAATTGCCTGGGGGAGGTGCTTGTTAAAAATGCAAGCCCTTTGGTACCACTCCAGATCCATTAAATAAAAATATCTGGGGATGCAGTCTAGAGAATCTGCATTTTAACACAATTTCTTGGATTTTTACTTAATATTTTATTTGAAAAATACCAAGGTGGAAGCAAGCAAGAGGGTCACGTAGGAGAAAGCACTAGTAAATATGGCAATGTTATCACAATCTCATTAATTTAGACTATACTAATTCCAAATTTAAGAGAGTTAGTCCTGAGTTAGGCTTGTTTCTTTAAACTATCCAAGGAGAAAAGGCTTTATTTAGCACATTAATTTGTTAAACAAGATTTGAGGAAAATTTTTTCCCGCCTTTATAAATCCCAATTTACAACTCTGGGTTACTGTTAGCTCATGTACTTTCAAGCTTACGTACTTGAAATAAATGCAGTAACTTGTGAAACAGCTTGCAGTTCAGACCTCACTTTTACTAATTGTAATCAAACATAATTTTGGAGGAGAAAAGAAAGAAAGGGGCAATGAAGGAATGGGAGAGAAAAAAGAGTGAAGCAGTAGTAAATTCTAACTCCTCACTTTCAAGTGGTAGCATTGGGGGGTGGGAGGGGACACAGCAGGTTGACAATATCTATGAAGAGTTGAAATAGGAAAGAAACCAGGTTGGAGGAAAAGCCAGAATGTCACCTCCTTCCTGAACATTTTTTTTCCTCCTGTTCAGGGCCACCAACTGTGCAAGTAGCCCAAACTACTCCTTTTAACACGAGGGAGCCCGTGATGCTGGCCTGCTATGTGTGGGGTTTCTATCCAGCTGACGTGATCATCTCATGGAGGAAGAATGGAGAACCCGTCATCCCTCACAGCAGTGCCCCTAAGATTTCCCAGCCCAATGGCGACTGGACATACCAGACCCTCTCCCATTTAGCCTTAACGCCATCTTATGGGGACACCTATACCTGTGTGGTGGAGCACATTGGGGCTCCTGAGCCCATCCTCCAGGACTGGAGTAAGTGTACGGCAGGTGGAAGGAATTAGGGTTGAAATAGAGAGATATTGGAAGCTGGTTATTGAAAAAAGAACACCAACATTTTGGCAGAGGGAGTGAGATGTGGATAGGTACATGGTGTATGATAGAGAGGGAGGCGCTGAGAATGGGGAGTGGTTATGGAGAAACTTACAGAGGGCTCACGACCAGAGATGGGGCAATGGGATGAAGGAACGGAAAGAGTTGGTGATTGTTACTGTTGCTATTGCAGTGCAGTTGACGTTGCTGTGTCTGTGTTTGAGGGTGGGAGGGGAGCATGATTGTCCTAAAAAGAGAATGTGGATTTGGTAACTATATTTTTAAAACCAAAAATTGTGGTACATTATTCTAGTCTCCTTAGATTTCAACTATTCTGGTGTCAGGTCAAGAATGGGAGTTGAGGAAATAACGAAGGTTGAAGAAGAAAGGAGACTTTCTCTTGGTGTGGGGCAGTGCTGAATTTGGGCTGCTCTGTCAAGTGTAGAGGGGTAGGAAAGCCATAGCTGGTCGACGCTGGTGTGCATGCTTGGGGGCCAGTGGATAAGGAACTGATTACCTCTGCTTGAACTCCGGGACTGGGAGTAGCCAAAGGTCATAAGAAAAGTTGCACACAGATTTGGGCATTCCTGGGAAAGAAGAGGAAGAAATGAGAAGGAGGAAGGGTGTCTACAAAGGGCCAGGGAACAGGATCCCAGGTTGACTGCTGAGACCAGGCCTCCCTTGTGGCGAGTGTTGTATCTTGCTAGGCAGCTGGGAGGGGTGTGGGGAACAGAGAAGCGAGTGGAACTCACGTGCTCACTTGAGCTCTCCTGGGGAAAGTCTTCTCTACAGGGTGCACAAGAAGTTTCCCTTGAATGGTTGAGTGCTCATTTTATCAGGGGAAAGAGTCTGAGTGGGACATGATTCAGAATAGGACCCGCTCCAGGAAGCAGTGGTGGGGGGAGGGTGTGTGTACTATGGAGTGGAATGGAGACAAGCTCTGTAGGGACACATGGGAAATCTAGGTGTAGAAGACACACAGGTAGTAGAATTACTCACAAAATGGAACCACTGGAGGTTAGGAAAGGCGGAAAGCCATTTTAATAGGAAGATGCTCAGATGGAGCAAGGAAGGGAGCAAACATTGTCACCGTGGGGGCAGTGGAGAGGGGAGTCAGGAACCCTTTATCCTGGCGAGGTGCCCTTGGGCTGAAGGAAGGAAAGAAGATGCCTTGAGAGGTCCCACTGTACTGGAGAGGATCTGCGGTACTAACTCTGGGGAGGTGGGTTCCCCAGGCTTACTCTAGGAGTAGAGGTCCATAGGATGGGGGATTTGAGGAAAGGCCATTTCCTTGGGAAAGGCCATTTCCTTGGGGTTGGTATGAGCTGGACCCGTGGGGCTGAGATAAAGGACCTTTGAACCTGCTGAGAGGAGGTTGTAATAAATTAAGTTGCTCTGGGAGGGGGCAACAGTGATTGGTTCTAGCAAGTTTCTGTTTTTTGCAGCACCTGGTCTGTCCCACATGCAGACAGTGAAGGTTTCTGTGTCTGTGGTGACTCTGGGCCTGGGCTTCATCATCTTCTCTCTTGGTTTGGTCAGCTGTCGCAGGGCTGGTATCTCCAGTGAGTGACCCTTAACTCCTATCCCCACTCCCGCTCCCCATTTCTGCTTACTTTCTGTGTGCGATTGATTCTCTCATTTCTAGCCTGTTTGCTGTGAATAATGCTAGATACTTTTGTCCACTAAGACTGGTCTAATCAGGTATCTTCCTCTCCTAGGCTACACTCCCCTCCCTGGATCCAATTATCCAGAAGGTAACATATCTGTTGGTCTCAATGCCAGCTGGTCCTTTGGAAGGGGTGGGGGCTAGAGGGGGTCAGTGTTGGGTTCAGCTAATGGTGCTTATAGTAGGGGTGATCTTCCCTGAAGACCTAGCCAAGGGCATGATTTAAGGTACCGTTGTTTGGATTAGGAGCAGGAAAGAGGAACACCTACCTTCTCCTCTCCTACCCAGTGAAATGTCTGTGGGGAGGAGGCTGAAGGTGGTTCCTTTGAATTTGTTGTTGGTGAACTAGAATTTCCAATATTACTGTGTTAAGGGCTCTGGCATGGGATGGTTACAGACACAAATGATGGGGTCAAGTTGGGTTGAAGCCTCACTATCTCCATTTTATTTCTTCTGCAGGACGGCACATTTCCTAGGGCCAGAACCCCACAACTTCTACTCCAAGTGAGGAAGAGATTCAAACTTAATAATGCTACCATGCCTCCCAATATCTTCAAATCTCCCAAATTTTCTTGGATCCTATGGTTTCTCCATCCAATTCTTTGAATTTCCCAATCCCCACCACCACAATGTAAACCTTAGCAACTTGGGGAAACTCATTCCTAGGAATATTCTGTAACCAAATTATTGTCCAAAGCTGTATTTCTGGGGTGATAAAATGTGGGGGAGGGGGTTAAAGGGCCTCCTGGTGGCCCCCCTCTGCCACAGAGGACAGTGAGTCACTGCTGATTGTCTCTGAGAAATAAACTCTGGTGGAAATACTGGTTTTTTACATCTTTTTTCCTGGGGCCTGGGAAAAGAATATGGGCCGAGCAGGGGCTGAGGTTGATTTTCTCCTACTTGAGTGGAGGAGTCAGTGCCTCCTCCCATCTTCCCATCTAGACACAACAAAATTTGGGGCAGTTTTTTGATTTATAATTCATGAGAAGAAATTAAACAATAGTGGAGTGGAGTCACAGAGTAAGGGAGAGGAAGGGGAATAACAGTTCAGTCACCTCGTAAAGGATCTTACGAGGACTGAATGAGTTCATGCTTGTAAAAGGCTAAGCATGTTGCCCAGCACGTAGCGAGCTTGCAGTAGTGACGTTAGCTAGTGTCAGTTGTACCAGGTGCTTTACGCGCATTATTTCATTTGATCCTCATCACAACCCTGAGGTGGACCCCTCAGATAGTCAGGATTCAGGGGGTTAACTTAACTTCAGATCTGAGTTCTGGAAAGTAATTTCTTCCATACCTTGAGTGGGGAAGAGAACATAGCTCGGCTGCTTATCTTGTCCTAGGCACTGGGATAAGTGTCTTATGTCTGTACCTCCTTCTCTTCTCACAATAACCCCATAAGGAACAGATTGTTTTCCTCCATGTCACAAAGGAAGTGAGGTTCAGAGAGGTTAAATAACTTGTCCAAGGTCAAAGAACAGATTATCTGTAGAAAGTCTACCTGAGCTGGAAGTAAGTAGATTACTTAATTCTCATGCTAGTGAACACACTTCTCTAGAGGGCCACCCTTTTATTCCCTTCTACCCCAACCCCCAAAGGCATCCACTATTCGGGGGTAGGTTTCACACTGGAAAAGAGCACACTGGCTGGCTGTTTGTTTTCCAGTGAAGGGCGCCACCTGCTGGACACAGAAAGCTGGGCTGTGGAATTGTTTTGGAGTTGGGTACTGAACTAAGGTAAGGAAAAGAAACCAGAAATTGTTTGCATTTGCATTTCCCTGATGCTGAGTGATGTTGAGCATCTTTTCATGTGTCTGTTGGCCATTCGTATAACTTCCTTTGAGAAATGCCTATTCAGCTCCTTTGCCCAATCTTTAATTGGGTATTTGGTTTTTTACTGTTAAATTGTTTGAGTTCCTTGTATATTCTGGATATTAATCCTTTGTCACATGAGTAGTTTGCAAATATTTTCTCCCACTCAGTAGGTTGTCTTTTCACTCTTTTAATTGTTTCTTTTGCTGTGCGGAAGCTTTTTAGTTTTTTTTTTTTTTTTTTTTTTTTTTTTTTTTTTTTTC